ACATCGATATATCTGAGCCATGGTATGCGAGTCAATTCTAATGTTCGGTGTGCGTGTGCCTGCGGACACGTTGCGCAGAATGTCTCAAAAACTTTGCAATTAATCTATGCACCAAAGAATCGCTGAGAGCGTGTGAGGAAGAGGAAGAAAGCCACGATATTAAAAAGTGCTAAGGCCGGCCGAAAGTGTTAAAAAACTGGTATAGAGATTATTTCAGCCTTGAAAGGAGAGGCTTAAGCTGGTGGTAAACAGATTAGCTAACAGAATGTAGAGGCGGACCAGCAGTTGTCACCTACCCTTTTCTTTGCTTACCGCAGAGTAATAAAGACTGGTTCAATTTCGCTTTTTTGTTCTAGGCTGTAATGGCTTAACTGATTTATTAGTAAGACTCCGTACAATGTAACTCAAGTCTGGGTCGTAACCGCTCGGTGGTCGATCAGTGAGACGGGTTTCTTTGTTTGCAGTAACAGTACTCTAGGCTCTGGCTTAAGAGAGCTCAGTAGAAGTGTAAGACGCTGCTTACGTCTATGTTGTTGTCTGTGCGCTTCGTCAAGCGGTAAATATCTGACTTTAAATATTGACGAAGCGAACAACAGAACGGTACAGGCCAGGCCAGAAAAAGCGACGTGGCACATGATCGTAAGTACGCGGGACGCCTAGGTGAGCAGCTGCAGGTATGTCATGGAGTTGTTCGAGAACGCTGGTGCGCAGATGACGAGGAAGCGCGAGTAGTTGTTCTGGGCCATCGGCGCTGAAGCTGCGACAGTACAGAATGTTGTCGTGCAATCAATTAGGCGAACTGAAGGGTCTGGTCGGACGGAGGTCAGGCGCTCGAGGATGGAGAGTAACAATGGGTGGCGTCGTTGTTCGTTGAAGATATCACCCAAATCGTGAATGGAGAGCACGCAGGGGTCTGATTAAAGGTCTGTCAAGTCGGGCGTTTCCACCGGATGACGTGACAGGAAGCCGAATATAAGTATTAGGTCGTGAGGACACAGTTCATTGAGGGAAAACTGAATTGATGTAGGAATGACTGGTAATCGACACACGAGACGTGCACATCACTTGAACGGCAGGGGTTCTCCCATCAGCGACTCGGGGTGTGCGAGAAGCGATTAGCGTGAGTACTTTATCTAGGCGTCGGTGAAGGTTTGCACTCATTACAGAAATGTACACTCCAGTATCAATAATGGCAGAAATAGTCACACTTTCAACGTCAACAACCAACAAACTTTGTTTCGTCGGAAGCCTCAAGAAAGAATTTCTAGAGCAAGTCGACAATGCAGCGTAAACTCCGGGTGCTGCACTAAAAGTTTTTCGAATAGGCACAAGCGGGATTGAATGGGGACGACGGCCTGCGAGTCTGCGGTGAGCGAGACGTCTGGCGAAGTCTTGCAGGGTAACGCGACTGGCGACCATCTGGTCACAGAGTTCGGCCATTGAACCTTCTTAGTTGTTTGGCGAAGAAGACTGCGCGGTAGATGCAAAGCAGGTGCTGTCCTGTCGGTACAGTAAAGTTCAGACGACACCCGAGGTAGCGAGATCCAGTGAGAATAGCAGTAATGAATGATTTGACCGATACAGTGGCAATGATGACAAATTGGGCGATTGTCGGCGGCTCTCCAGACAGTAAGGTCGTGAGATCAGGCCATAAACTGCTGATCGTGATAGGACAAGGGTGGACGCCATGGAGCTCGCTGCGGGATGGGCACACTGCACACCGAGGGAATACCTATGCTGGCGAGTTTCTGGCAGATGATAGCCTGAACAATGAGGGCAATGAGTGGGGTCGTGTCACTTGCACCAGTATGAGCCGGAGCAGGCGCAATGTCTTCAAGTTTGCGCCGTACCGTTCGGGTAACCTGGTTCGATGAAACTAGAGGTGGCGGCTGTGTTCTTGCACGGTCTTCGCAAGACGACATTGCAGCCGTATTCGGAAGGCAGGTCAAGACGCTCCTAATCCGCCAGCACTTCACTTGCTCAAAACGCCGGCATTTCTTTGTAATGGCTTCAACTGTAGAATAATTTTTGCAAATGAGGAGGCTAAATACGTCGTCCATGATCTCTTAAAAATACTTCCAACCTTGTCAGCCTCCGGCACCTCGGCATTGACTTTGCGACACAATGTCACCTATATACGAGACGTAATTCTATATACGAGACGCAAAACTTTATCGAGGTCTGCGTCCGCGACACCAGCATTTTGTGCGTGGCCATCTTTTGCCCGATGGTCTTCCCAAACCAGTCTAACAATTTCTCGTTGCATGTCTGAATTTCAATGTTCAGTTTCCTGGTTCTCGTACAACACTTTGACAGTTCCCTTGAGGTAAAAAAACAGGGTTTGCCAGCAGAAAAGGCTGAACCCAACGTTTGCGGGCACCTAGGCGGTTGTTCTCTGCCAGCCAACTATTCACGTCCACTTCATTAGATTCGCCGGAACCGCTAAACTTGCCATAATTCCGTCCCGTGTGCTCAGATTTGGGTGCACGTTAAAGAATCCCAGGTGGTATAAATTTCCAGAGCCCTCCACTACGGCGTCTCTCATAATAATATAGTGGTTTTGGGACGTTAAACCCCACTTATAAATAAATCAATCATGATCCCGTGGGTTTTGCAGCCCAACCGTTGTGGTCGTACAGGCAGATGCAGTCGACGCATCTTCCTCATCCGCCTGAGAGTGACCGGTTGCAGATGGAGAATTCTTATCTTCCGGCATCGTTGAAGTGAGATCCTGCAAACGATGACCGCTACAGATCTTTGTTGCGAGGCGTGTCGGTACCTGGAAACTTCACCTAGTGTGACGGGGCGAGATATAGATTTAATGTATAAAGTTCACAGTGAATCTGAAGCCAAACAAGAAGGCTGAGTCACCCCTCGTGCAAGTGCCTAAAGCACAGGCATCTTCGTCATCTTTGTTGAGGGCCACACTTGCTCGTGTCGATTATTCACCATAACAATATTCTCAAGCTTTAATTGCCTCCAACATACCTCCTGCTTCATCAACACAGATAATCATTCTCCTTGACGAGACTTTGATCTTCCTCAAGGAGACCACAGCATGAACAAACTAAACTGCGCCCAAACTTTGCGTTATGTAAATTGGTTGGTATGTGGGGTTTAACGTCCCAAAACCACTATATGATTATGAGAGACGCCGTAGTGGAGGGCTCCGGAAATTTAGACCACCTGGGGTTCTTTAACGTGCACCCAAATCTCAGCAAACGGGCCTACAACATTTCCGTCTCCATCGGAAATGCAGCCGCCGCAGCCGGGATTCATACCCACGCCCTGCGGGTCAGCAGCCGAGTACCTTAGCCACTAGACCACCGCGGCGGGGCGTGTTATGTAAATTGATTTTTAGGAACCGCATTTTGCGAAACTTGCACCTGCACCTCCTTTCGCGACGCGGATGTGCACATTCCTACACGAAAACGAATTGCGGATTTCGAGAATATGCACATCGTAGCTGTTTACGTCGGTAACGTACTCACGAAGAACGAAGTGCGCTTCAAAGTGGTGCTCACATTAGAAAATGCTGAAAGCTTTATCTTTCCTGTGAAGTTTTCACTCCCACTTCTTTCCAAGGTCGTCGTTCTTCGATGCGGCGAACTGCGACACTTTTAGCTTATTCGAGCAGCCCGTGTGGCAACCCGGAGCGAAGCACTAATGTGAGTTTGTCCACCTCTTCGCCTTGCTGTGGGATGAACGCGGCACTCATGATCCACGCGAGCAGGCACTAAAGCGCAACAGGTGCTTCCAACACTCACGACACGCTAGTCCCGGAAACGTTACTATAGCATGTTGGACCATAAAACACGTTGCGCGCTGCTATCCCAACCATACCACCATCACACACTCTATGAGAATAGGGCGTGTTCATGTGCGCATAATAATCCATAATAGCTCACAGTGAACGAAAGGAAGCGCTGACTAACAACTGAATTTTGTTTCGAAGAATCGTGTATTAGTATGCAGGATTGCTCATGGGCGAGTTCAAACTGCAGAAATTGTCCTTTGACCATGACAACCCGTGATCATTTGCTCAAAGTTAAGAAAAGTGTGAAAGGGTGAATGTCGGTGCAAAAATAAATGCTTTTTGTTATCGTTATTGATGTTATATAATCGCATTTTTTCTTCAATTGACGTGGCTTTAATGATTGACCTTTTCTTCTCCAATGACGCTTTAGCATTTGCAGTAGTGCCACCAAAGATATGAGATCAGCCACACTCGGTACATTGATGCACACAAAAACCACCTCTGCCATTTTGCATTTTTTTGACGATGCTTTAGCAGGCGCACGTTGAGACATCTTCCTGTTTGTACCAGGTATGCCGCTCCAAAGGAAAGGGATACACCATACACCAGGTGTCAAGCACACTCTGTCTTGGGGTTACTATTAGTACTACAGCCTTCATCCTTATTAACAGGGCAAGTTCACTTACATAGCTTCCACAGTTTATTAGGAGCGGAAAAAAAACCGTCTCCTTTGATATCTCGCCGCTTTCCTTTAAGCGGTGCGACATCCCATGTACATATGTGCTGCACAGTATATGATGCACATGCGCGAATACGTATAATTGTACGTGCTTGTTCGTTCTGAATAGAGCTCATTTGTTACTCCGCATTTGTACGAACTTCTGTCGAGGAGGCCCGCACATGAAGGCTCGCTCTAATAAAATGAGCAGCAGCGCCCCCACCTATACTGGCGGCCGTACAGAGCGTGAAAAGACGCTGGAAAACCGGGTGCACCGCACCGGTCATGCCACTACATCTCTTCTAGTTCACTATAGTTAAGGCATAGTCTATCAGCGGCCGGCACACGGCAAGGTGGAAGCCACTCCAAGCAATCATCGAGGATGAAAAGCCCCTGGTCTGCTTGCAACACTGTCAAACAAACTTATTGAACAGGCAGGCTTCTCTGTTGCAACTCTACACGAATTGCTCATTTATTTTTTTTGTGCGGTGGTTAACGGAGCGGGGCAGAACGAGTGTCGCATACACCGTCCTGATGTTGGCGCACTCATGCGAGATGTTGTCCAAAAAAGTCGAGGACTGCTTAAAGGCCTCCTCAGCCAAGATCTGTGACAAATTGTTGGTGCCGACTTCACAACGATTGAGGATGCTGTTCTGAAAATGAAGTCAAGTATATATACAGGGTTCTCCAGCTATATTTAGCTAGAATTTAAAAACATGGCGACACGTGCACTTACGACTCGACCAAAATGCATACTGCTGACAGTAGCATGGGGTGAGTCGGACGAATTTCGTTCTGTTATGATCGATTTTATTGCGATAGCAATTATATAGAAACTCTCGGCTGGATTTTGCCAACGGCGTCGGCGTCGATGTCATGCATCGTATATGTATACGTATCTATATAGATGAAAACGCAAGAAAGAAAAATTCAGTAAATACTCAGGCGCGCGAAATCGAACGTGAGATCTCTGAGTTGTGAAAGCGAGGCGTTAACCGCTCAGCCACCCCGGAGCACAACTCTTACCATTCAAACGGCAAGCTACTTATATCTACCATTTACCGCTGCTCACGAGCCTCGCGGGAGGGGGGGGGCAATGATGTTTCCAGCAATATGAGCAAGATGTCGCAATGAGCGCGCGTCACCACATTGCGCAGTGGCGCCCTCTGTAACCTCTTACGCGTACTTTGCCCGGCTTAGAGAAGGGGAGCGACGCTCCCTTGCACGCCGTTATCTCGCTGTGGCGAGGAAGGGATGGTCGTACACCTTGGCTAGCCTCGGGCTTTACCTGGAACGACTCTGCTGTAGTTCCCGGGTGCACAAACTTCACTGTAATCATTGCAGTCTCCAGTATCTGTTTCCGAAAAACGCGCGCTTTTCAGGCACAGCAAAGTAACAATTCAGACGCTTATTCGCGTTCATCTTTACCTGTGAGTACGTTTTGTGCGTCATTTGTGCCTGAGGAACACGGGGCATGTTTCGATCTGCTTTCCATTCTGCGCGTGACCTTTCAATTTGTTGCTTTCGCATTCATTGCTTCGCCTTTCCGGCAAAGCTGTGACTTTTCATTGAGACCATTTTAACTAACTGCAAAAAGAATAAACATGGGTAAAAAAAATTTCAATTAGACAGTTGAAGGTCACTTTGCTAAACGTCCGATTAAACAGTTTCAAACATTGCCTGATAATTATTAGTGTTTTTCTGCCAACTGAAAATTCCCTTAAAATATGAACAAAAATATCACGTGACAAACTAACTCGCGAGGCTATGCGCGCCGTGATTTTGATGCACCGTAACGTTCCACGTGCGAACAATACGCTTCCTTCGCACCTGATTGAGGCAGTTATAAGCAGTCACGGTGGTTATCCCTTTTGTGGCTGATAGCGAAGCGTGTTCATCGCAAAGCCACCACCATCGTTGCACCTCAGTCGAGACAGCACAATCGGGCAAACTGGTCATTCGTACGCGGGATGTTAGAAAACACTAGAATCATCGCGCGCATTGGCGAACGAAAGGGCTTGTCAATTGGTATTTTTTTACATTTCGCTGGAATTCGCAGTTAGTAAGAAAACTCTCAAAGTTAACATATACAAAGCTCGAAGCTGTGTAATCAGATGATTTCGAAACCGATGAACAACCTTTTTTATTGGTATGTCCGGCCTAAATTGATGCTTAAAAATTTAATTCATAAAGGTAGCATAAGTAGGCAATAAATCATAACAGGAAAAATTCGTGATTGGGTGTATATATATATATATATATATATATATATATATATATATATATATATAAGTCAAGTAGATCCTCCAAGAGAACGGTAACAACGGAAGTGTTTAATTCGACAGTTTCGGCCAGAGTCTGGCCTTCATCAGGAGTCATGGTACATTCTGTTTGCGCTCACATTTATAGTATTTTGGGTAAAAAATGAGAGGGAAGGAAAAAAAAAAAAAAAAAAAAAAAAAAAAAAAAAAAAAAAAAAAGAAAGAGTTTGAAAAACGAGAGAGGAAAGGATATCCAGAAAGTTCCAGGTTCCACTGTGCTTCGCGAGTGGCGTCGTCAGTGTGTATTTTCTTAGTATTGCGTTCAGTGCAGTTTGGTGGCGGTCCCTTTATTGTAGACGGGGCCTGGCTAAGGTAAGGGCTTGCGTGTCGCGAAAAATGCTTTTTTTTATTATTATTTTTTATTTTTTATTTTTTAAAGACCGTCACTAATTCGGCGTCGGGGACAGCGTTCCGAGGCTCCAGGAAGTCGGCGCGGGAGAAAATGTTTCTTAAGGCGCTGTCTGTCGTTTTGAATGCTATTTTGCTCTGCGAATCCGCGTTTGGGGGTTTTAATTGTGTATGGGGTGGCCCTTCTATATGTCGGGCTTTGTTGTCGAAATGCGGGAAGGGTTTCCAAACTGCGAGAAAGGACGTTTGAAGTGATTGCTATTTTGTACTGGGAAACCGCGTTCGGGGCGTTTAGTTGTGTATGTGGATGTCGGGCTTTGTTGCCAAAATCGGGGAAGGGTTGCCAAAAGGCGAGAAGGGGCGTTTGAAGTGATTGCATTTTGTTCTGGGAATCCACGTTCGGGGCTTTTAGTTGTGCATGCGGTGACCCTTCGACAAATCGGGCTTACAACTATTGTTCGGTTATTCAGAGAAATAGAAATAGACGACAGTGGTTCACTGAAACACGCAAAGATATTTGTAGTTGTCCAGTCCTCGTCGCCGCCACAGTGCCGCGAAATCTTGAACTGTTATGATTACAATTATAAACTTACATATACACACATACACCCCCATACATATGCGCATATGCATAAGTACATATACACATATAAATGCATATGTATATATTATAGTGCTTTGATTGCTGCAAGTGTACCCGGACTTTCATTTATGCCTTTTTCGAGGGTGTTAAATCGGTGTATGAGGTATGATTCACGTTGTTCACGTTCCCGGTTTGATTTAAATCCTGTTTCTAAAAGTGTGACTGACAATTTGTCGAAGGAGTGGCCGGGAAGGTTAAGGTGTTTTGATAGAGGTAGATTCGGCGCTGATTTCGCGTGGGCTCTGTGATTATTGAAACGAATCCTAAAGGGTGTTTCCGTTTGTCCGATGTATTGCATGCCGCACACGTTGCATTCAAGTAGATATACCACATTAGGGGAATCGCATGTTAGATTTCCTCGTATGTTAATTGAAAAGTTGGATTGTGTGCTGCTTGCCTTGCTTGTATCTCGCATCGCTTTGCATACAAAACATCGAGGCTTCAGACAAGGTCGGCATGAACTGTCGGAAGTTGAAGTATTGATTTGGGAGTTTACAAGTGTGTCTTTGAGGTTGCGTGTTCGTCGGTAAACGACGCCAGGAGCCGATGGGAATGCACGTTTTAGACGTTCACTTTGTTCCAGTATGTTGTAATGTCGTTTAAGGATTTTGTTAACGTTGGGGAAATTCGTGCTGTATGTTAAACATAGGTGTGTCTGTTGCAGGTTGTGTTGTGGTGGCCGCTTCATCAGAAGGTCATCACGCTGAAGTTTTCTAGCTTTTTGAATAGCGTCATCAATTACATGTGGAGGATATTTCTGTTTTTCGAGCACGAGTTTAAGCTTTTGTGAGCTCGCGTGGAAGTCAGTGTCTTTTGAGCAAATTCGCTTAAAACGGTGGGCCTGGCCGTATGGAATGCTGTTTTTACAATGGCGTGGATGATCACTTTGGTAATGGAGGTACTGTTGTCGATCTGTTGGTTTGCGGTAGAGGGTTGTGGAAAGTTTATCATCTTCTATTATTATGGTAACGTCAAGGAAATTTACGGTTACTTGTGAGTAGGTGTGTGTGAAGTGTATGTTTGGATGCACAGTATTGTAAGTATCGATAAAGTTTAGCAGTTCATCCTCGCTGTGAGTCCAAATAAGAAAAATATCGTCAATGTACCGCCTGTATAGGAGTGGTTTCAAGGGAGTTTGGGACAAAAATTCGGTTTCTAGTTCTCCCATAAAAATGTTAGCATAGTTTGGTGCGAGTTTGGTACCCATGGCGGTGCCGCTGATTTGTCGAAAGTACTCTTGGTTGAACTCGAATGAGTTCAGTTCTAATACAAGTCTTGTGAGGCTTGCGATGGCAGAGAAATCTGGGGTGTCAGGTTGTCTATGGTTTGTGTATGTGTTTTTTAATGCCGCTATGCCATCATCGTGGGGAATATTTGTATAAAGTGAAGACACATCAAGGGTAACTAAGTATGAGTGTTTCGGAATGCGCAGGTCTGCAATATCTCGAAGAAAATGTGAGGTGTCTTTTACGTACGACCCGAGAGTGCACGGAATGTGGCCTATTAATTTGTCTACGTACCCTGATATGGGCTCGGTTACTGTGCCTATACCTGAAATGATTGGTCGGCCTGGATTACCGGGTTTATGAATTTTTGGGAGTATGTAGAAGCGCCCTGGACGAGGGTGTACTGGCCGCATTAATTTGTGCTCACTGCGTGTTATTCTTCCCTCGTCCAACAGCTTCTTCAGTTCTGTTGCTACAATACGCGTGTATTTCTCTGTCGGGTCCCCTGGGAGGCGTTCGTAGAATTTTAAGTCGTTTAGTTGACGGTATGCTTCTTGTAGGTAGTCGGTTGTATTTAGGACTACAATTGCCCCTCCTTTGTCAGCGGGCTTTATTATTATATCAGTCCTAGATGTTAGGTTTTGCATACTCTTTTTCTCGGATTTTGTCATGTTTTCCCGCTTTCCCTTCTGTCTGTGATACTCCTGTAATATATCTTTCTGGACCGCGTTAATATATAAGTCCAGACACTTGTCTCGATGACTATTTGGTGTCCAATCGCTTGTTTGGTGGCGGGGAGTCTTTGGAATGTTAGACGGCTTGTCCAAGAAATATTCGTGCAGCCTCAATTTTCTAGCGAAGTTGTCGAGGTCTCGGAGTAAGTGAAACTCATCGAAAGATTTTCTAGTTGGGCAGAAGTTTAGTCCTTTAGATAATAGTTTTACTTCATCAGTTGACAAACTCGTGTCTGATAGGTTTATAATCGCAGCGTCGTAGTGAGTGTTGATAGGTGTTTTCTTGTTTGTGCCGTGAGTTTCCTCGTGGGTGAATGTGTTGTAGTCATACAGTGTAGCGTCTGGTAGTGTGGGGTTGGAAACATTGTCTCTTTTAAGTTTCTGTATTTTAGTTTTCTTGACCTCTTGGTATTTATTCTGTTCGAACTCTGTTAGTAGGGTGATTTCCTCGTTTGATAAGTGGTTGTTGTCGCGCAGAATGGCGTTGGTCATGTTGGTCAGTTTCTTTACTTGTTTTTCACTGTGGTTGATTGCAATTTCTGTTAGCTTGAGTGATGCTTCTAGAAGGACGTTTTGCCATGCGGCCTGGTTGTTTTCGTCGAGATTTGTGGCGGCAGGGGTGATGGAGAGTGTCATTCCTTTGGGGGCTATTCTAGCATTTAGGTATACTTGCAGCGTCGATCTATGCATTGCATGTCTGATTCGTTTATCCGTGAGTTTTCTTACTTTAAGAAAAGTGGCACTGTAACCGGAGAGCAGAGAGCTGGACTTACAGATTGGAAGTCAGTCTTCTTTTGGGCGCGGGGACGGCACTGCAGAAGTCCGCAGGTTGTAGGTGTGTTGTGTAGGCCTTCGTCGTTGAAAGGATGATCCGGGCGTCGAGCTGCTGGCAGGCGTTGAGCTCCGAGCGAGCGTTGAGGGCAGGATGTCCGTGTTGCTCGATGTTTCTTTGGGTGGGGTCGGCAATAGAGCAACACGCCTCTGTTGGTCGGCAGGTTTCACCTCTTGGGAAGGTGCGGTACTGCTGTCGATGACGGTGGGCTGTATCGGGCGTCGAGGTGTTATACTTTCAACGATCGTTGGGAACTCTGTCGTGGTGTCAGAGGTCTGCAGTGCTCCGGGAACGTGTTGGTGACTTCTGGTTCCCTGGTGATATTCTTCTGTTCGCATTTGGATGGGAGTGGTAGGTTGGGATGACCACCCCGCGGCAGGCTCGAGGTTCCCGCGATATATTGCCCCTTTCAGCGTTTGAGCAATGAGTGCTACCCCCATGAAGCTCGGATGTAGTCCGTCCGCAGCAAGGAAACGTCTGGCTGGCAGTTGGTCGAATTCATAGTCGATGTATGACACCTTGCCCGGTTTCCGGCAGTACGTCTTGATTGTCTCATTAAAGTGACGAGCTTCCCTGTTGAAGCGGTGGACGAATTTCTCGTTGGAACGTTGTAGGCGCCTGTTGGTGGATCGTGGTGGCACACATGAGACAATTAGTCTGTCAAGTTCCGGGCGTCTTTGAAGAGTGTTATTTACCAGGCGGCGAAGGCGGCGAAGGGACTCATCCGGCCCGTACAGTTCCAATTCGCTCGTCCCCACGTGGAAAACGAGCGTGGTTACTGAGCGTGGCACATTTGCCAGCTCATCTTCAATATCGAAAGTGGATGCTCCGCGGATCGTTATGAATACCGGTGTTGACTTGTCGTAGGGGTTGAAGTGTCGATGAAGGTATCTCGTTTGTGAATTTCCAATGATAGCTGTACTTGGTGCATGTTTAGGAAATTTCCGTGATACTTTTTCCGCTGGAGGTGCGCCGGTGGCCGGTCTGGAGTAGGCAGGCATGGTGGCGAAAATGGCCGTAGCGTTGCAATAAGTCAAGTAGATCCTCCAAGAGAACGGTAACAACGGAAGTGTTTAATTCGACAGTTTCGGCCAGAGTCTGGCCTTCATCAGGAGTCATGGTACATTCTGTTTGCGCTCACATTTATAGTATTTTGGGTAAAAAATGAGAGGGAAGGAAAAAAAAAAAAAAAAAAAAAAAGAAAGAAAGAAAGAAAGAGTTTGAAAAACGAGAGAGGAAAGGATATCCAGAAAGTTCCAGGTTCCACTGTGCTTCGCGAGTGGCGTCGTCAGTGTGTATTTTCTTAGTATTGCGTTCAGTGCAGTTTGGTGGCGGTCCCTTTATTGTAGACGGGGCCTGGCTAAGGTAAGGGCTTGCGTGTCGCGAAAAATGCTTTTTTTATTATTATTTTTTATTTTTTATTTTTTAAAGACCGTCACTAATTCGGCGTCGGGGACAGCGTTCCGAGGCTCCAGGAAGTCGGCGCGGGAGAAAATGTTTCTTAAGGCGCTGTCTGTCGTTTTGAATGCTATTTTGCTCTGCGAATCCGCGTTTGGGGGTTTTAATTGTGTATGGGGTGGCCCTTCTATATGTCGGGCTTTGTTGTCGAAATGCGGGAAGGGTTTCCAAACTGCGAGAAAGGACGTTTGAAGTGATTGCTATTTTGTACTGGGAAACCGCGTTCGGGGCGTTTAGTTGTGTATGTGGATGTCGGGCTTTGTTGCCAAAATCGGGGAAGGGTTGCCAAAAGGCGAGAAGGGGCGTTTGAAGTGATTGCATTTTGTTCTGGGAATCCACGTTCGGGGCTTTTAGTTGTGCATGCGGTGACCCTTCGACAAATCGGGCTTACAACTATTGTTCGGTTATTCAGAGAAATAGAAATAGACGACAGTGGTTCACTGAAACACGCAAAGATATTTGTAGTTGTCCAGTCCTCGTCGCCGCCACAGTGCCGCGAAATCTTGAACTGTTATGATTACAATTATAAACTTACATATACACACATACACCCCCATACATATGCGCATATGCATAAGTACATATACACATATAAATGCATATGTATATATTATAGTGCTTTGATTGCTGCAAGTGTACCCGGACTTTCATTTATGCCTTTTTCGAGGGTGTTAAATCGGTGTATGAGGTATGATTCACGTTGTTCACGTTCCCGGTTTGATTTAAATCCTGTTTCTAAAAGTGTGACTGACAATTTGTCGAAGGAGTGGCCGGGAAGGTTAAGGTGTTTTGATAGAGGTAGATTCGGCGCTGATTTCGCGTGGGCTCTGTGATTATTGAAACGAATCCTAAAGGGTGTTTCCGTTTGTCCGATGTATTGCATGCCGCACACGTTGCATTCAAGTAGATATACCACATTAGGGGAATCGCATGTTAGATTTCCTCGTATGTTAATTGAAAAGTTGGATTGTGTGCTGCTTGCCTTGCTTGTATCTCGCATCGCTTTGCATACAAAACATCGAGGCTTCAGACAAGGTCGGCATGAACTGTCGGAAGTTGAAGTATTGATTTGGGAGTTTACAAGTGTGTCTTTGAGGTTGCGTGTTCGTCGGTAAACGACGCCAGGTCATCGACGCAGTGGTCATCCACGCCATTGTAAAAACAGCATTCCATACGGCCAGGCCCACCGTTTTAAGCGAATTTGCTCAAAAGACACTGACTTCCACGCGAGCTCACAAAAGCTTAAACTCGTGCTCGAAAAACAGAAATATCCTCCACATGTAATTGATGACGCTATTCAAAAAGCTAGAAAACTTCAGCGTGATGACCTTCTGATGAAGCGGCCACCACAACACAACCTGCAACAGACACACCTATGTTTAACATACAGCACGAATTTCCCCAACGTTAACAAAATCCTTAAACGACATTACAACATACTGGAACAAAGTGAACGTCTAAAACGTGCATTCCCATCGGCTCCTGGCGTCGTTTACCGACGAACACGCAACCTCAAAGACACACTTGTAAACTCCCAAATCAATACTTCAACTTCCGACAGTTCATGCCGACCTTGTCTGAAGCCTCGATGTTTTGTATGCAAAGCGATGCGAGATACAAGCAAGGCAAGCAGCACACAATCCAACTTTTCAATTAACATACGAGGAAATCTAACATGCGATTCCCCTAATGTGGTATATCTACTTGAATGCAACGTGTGCGGCATGCAATACATCGGACAAACGGAAACACCCTTTAGGATTCGTTTCAATAATCACAGAGCCCACGCGAAATCAGCGCCGAATCTACCTCTATCAAAACACCTTAACCTTCCCGGCCACTCCTTCGACAAATTGTCAGTCACACTTTTAGAAACAGGATTTAAATCAAACCGGGAACGTGAACAACGTGAATCATACCTCATACACCGATTTAACACCCTCGAAAAAGGCATAAATGAAAGTCCGGGTACACTTGCAGCAATCAAAGCACTATAATATATACATATGCATTTATATGTGTATATGTACTTATGCATATGCGCATATGTATGGGGGTGTATGTGTGTATATGTAAGTTTATAATTGTAATCATAACAGTTCAAGATTTCGCGGCACTGTGGCGGCGACGAGGACTGGACAACTACAAATATCTTTGCGTGTTTCAGTGAACCACTGTCGTCTATTTCTATTTCTCTGAATAACCGAACAATAGTTGTAAGCCCGATTTGTCGAAGGGTCACCGCATGCACAACTAAAAGCCCCGAACGTGGATTCCCAGAACAAAATGCAATCACTTCAAACGCCCCTTCTCGCCTTTTGGCAACCCTTCCCCGATTTTGGCAACAAAGCCCGACATCCACATACACAACTAAACGCCCCGAACGCGGTTTCCCAGTACAAAATAGCAATCACTTCAAACGTCCTTTCTCGCAGTTTGGAAACCCTTCCCGCATTTCGACAACAAAGCCCGACATATAGAAGGGCCACCCCATACACAATTAAAACCCCCAAACGCGGATTCGCAGAGCAAAATAGCATTCAAAACGACAGACAGCGCCTTAAGAAACATTTTCTCCCGCGCCGACTTCCTGGAGCCTCGGAACGCTGTCCCCGACGCCGAATTAGTGACGGTCTTTAAAAAATAAAAAATAAAAAATAATAATAAAAAAAGCATTTTTCGCGACACGCAAGCCCTTACCTTAGCCAGGCCCCGTCTACAATAAAGGGACCGCCACCAAACTGCACTGAACGCAATACTAAGAAAATACACACTGACGACGCCACTCGCGAAGCACAGTGGAACCTGGAACTTTCTGGATATCCTTTCCTCTCTCGTTTTTCAAACTCTTTCTTTCTTTCTTTTTTTTTTTTTTTTTTTTTTTTCCTTCCCTCTCATTTTTTACCCAAAATACTATAAATGTGAGCGCAAACAGAATGTACCATGACTCCTGATGAAGGCCAGACTCTGGCCGAAACTGTCGAATTAAACACTTCCGTTGTTACCGTTCTCTTGGAGGATCTACTTGACTTATTGCAACGCTACGGCCATTTTCGCCACCATGCCTGCCTATATATATATATATATATATATATACATATATTTTCCGTGTCTTCTTATAGCATGTTGAGACAGGAGGGAAGAGAAGAGAACGGAAAGGTGAACGTAAAAGGAATGGTGAAAAAGTAAAAAGAAGAGAAAAGGCCAATAGGAAAGAATAAAGAAATAAACGAAAAGAAGAAGAACAGAGAAAAACACGGCAGAATTAGGAAGAGGTGGCATCTCAAGAGAGTAAGGCGGACGTAAATACTGTAGCTCTAAAGGAGCCACGCCATCATTGACAACAATACTTCTCACGCAACCACCCTTCCCCCAAATGAACAGTGTGACGACCCGCGTTTAATATTGCACCTTCTGCCGCAATTCATTCATATATGAAATTTAACGTCCCAAAACCACCATATGAGTATAAGAGCCATCGTAGTGGAGTGCTCCGAAAATTTTGACCACCTGCGGTTCTAACGTGCACCCAAATCTGAGCACACGGGCCTACAGCGTTTTCATCACCGGCTTAATTGCTTTGAGTGCATGTGGGCAGCCTCCTGTCCTAAAAGAAAAAGAAAAGGTGACAAAAAAGAAAAAAAAAGAGAAGCGTGTACGACATGCGCAGGACCGCTTATCTGTGTGTGCTGGCTGTGCTTTAAGCGGCAAACCAATACTATATTGTCAGATGCCTACGCTTGTTGCTGTGTCATGGGTAATAATAATGTTGAATAGGAGCCTATAGGGGCCGAGGAGGGATCATGGAGAATTGTTTGCGTCTTTTAGAGATCGTGACGCTGACGAGGTGCCTGGGTGCTTAGTTATTCAGTTTTTTATCGTGTCACTTTGTTGATAAAGTAAGATTTTCGTCGTCCCTGTTATCTAATTGTTCGACAGTCTTTGTTTTAGTATATTTTTCCTTTTTTCTTTTTTGCCCGTATATATGATCATTTGCCAAGCTCCGTAAACACAATGTGTTATAATCAACTTTCAGTGCATTTTAACTTCAATTAAATATTTGTGTTTCTATTCGATCGTTTGTGGTATAAATGACATGCCTTCTTTCAAGATCACTTTTTTGAGTGAATTTAATTAGCATTTGGCTAGGGATTCAGATGCATCTTTCACACTTTTGTATTTAGTAAACTATTTTTCTGTCAATAAAATATTCAATTCAATACGTGTTCTGTTTTTGCGGAAGTCCTTGGTGCGGGAGCAGATTAGTCTGAATCTTTGTGCTAGGGAATGGGAAATACTGGTCTTGCAGTGTCGCGGGTGGCAGCTTTTGAAAAGCAGGTATTGTTGCCTGTCCGTAGGTTTTCTCTATACGCTAGTTACCAACTCACCATCGTCTATATGAATGAGTACATCACGGAAGCTTATTTCTGTGTTACAGTAGGAGTGTGTCAAATAAGGGGTTTGGATGCGCTTGCCTGCATGAACTTGAGGAGCGTGTTTTCTGATTGTGTCTCTATCAGGAATATGTCATCTAGGTACCGTTTATAGATGGAAGGTTTTATATCACAAAATGAAAAAAAATTGGACTCGATAAGGTGCATGAGTACGTT